GAGGGGGAGACAGCGAAGCCAGCCTTCATAGGGCTGTGTATCCTGATGCTGATGTGCAGGAGGGTCCCAAGTTTACAGAGACCGCCCACCACTCTGACTGTAAACGTTCCTGTTGTGGATGTCTCAGTACCTCGAGGCCCTGCTGCCTTGTCTGGCTGCTCTGCTTATTGCCTTTGCTGTCCTCCCCACCATCACCGCACATGTCGCTCTGGGGCAAAATAGAGGCCGCACAATGATATCAGATGACCCTGGCACTATCTCAAGAGCACTTCCAGCAGTAATTTAACTCTGACTTGTCATAGGGGATTCGCCTTATTGAAAGCTACACACACATTCACTTTCTCTTTTATCAGTACTTTTCTGTTTCTTTCTCCCTTTTGAAAGGAAGCGTGGGGTGGGAGAGGGAGAAGAGAGAAGAGCAAGCCCATGGATGAGTCACAGTGAAGTAATACATACGGTATTTATCCTTCTTTTGAACATGAGAAAGTTACAAATGCAGTTTAAAGGGAAAAAATATGCCTGAGAGAAAGGGTTCTGATTAAAAACAAGGAAGAAAAATACTTCATCAGTGATTTCTAAAACACCTGAAGAGGAGAGGTCTTAGCAATTCTATAACATGGTGGAAGAGCAAACAAAAAGTGGGAGTAGTAATGACAGTTGTTAGTGGAAGCTTATCAACAAATTTCATCATTAACCAAAAGCTTTACTTTAATGAGGGTTTAAAAGATGACTACTTATTTACCATCTTAATTAAAGTCTTAAGTTTGTTTATTTTTTTAGAAAGCATGTAGTGGGGGTTAATTTAAAAGAAATGTGTGGAGACTGCTCTCTAATTGTTGCTCGGGAAAGAGCAGACTTTGCAGGCTTTTAACACAACAACATCCCTGAGAAACCAAACTAGAATTAAATAAGGCCTGGATAAACAAACTTCTCATCAGCCTTGCACAAAACCTATAAAAGTCAGAACTGCAGCTGGACAGAGCAGTGTCTTTTGAAGCTTTGCAGCAACATTCTTAAATCAAATCTGTAGTTCAAAGCTGTTCACACAGGGAGTGTTCAGTTTCAGAAGTGGATGACATCACCCACTGTTCAGATTTACAAAGAAACTACAAAAATCAAATCATTCAACCACTGGGATCCCAGGATGAAGCAGACACTTGCAGCTAAAGCATTTCCTCATGACCACATGAAAACATATTTTAAAAAATTAAAAACTTGTCAGAGCACATAGATATTGAAGGAAATGCAACACAAAAAAAGAGCTAAATTAAAATATTGGTTGCTAAAAGCACTAGCAGAGTTTAAAGCAAAGAGAGACCGAGAAAATCTTGGGCTCTTTGTGTTGTACTGATAATCTCAGAGAAGGTACACTTTGAAAAACAGTTTACCTCTAACAATTTTATCCCTGCAACAATAATCACCAGATCCAGTAAAAATACAAATATCCAAAATTATTCATCATAAAACCCATTATTGAACACCATAAGGGGAATACTTCATATCAGCAGCTCTTTAAAAAAGCTAATAAAATGCATTAAAAGACACAGAGACATAAACAAGGGCTTGTTTTTATAAAAAATAAAAAAAACCTAATTATACAATGTACATTCAGCAAATTGACAAGCTTCATGTTTTCACAAGGGCTAACACAGTTTCTGTTTTAAATTTGGTTTAAAATCAACAGAAAGGGGTTGCTGCGTGCTGTGGGTAAATATACTAGTCCTGGGAGCTATTATTTTTGCTGCTGCTGCTGTCAAAAGCTTTGTTAAATAAAAGAGAGAAAAAAAGGAAAAAGAGAGGAGAGGGTACACTGATTTTGTAGAGCCTTGAGTGCCAGTCAAACATTAACACTATTTTCTTCACTTTGTTTGCCTTCGTGCTTGCCTTGATTGCTTTCTCCCTTCGTTACACCCACACTGCCTGACCTCTTCTTGCTCCTGTTCTCTATACTCCCTAAATTACCTACCCATATGCACCACATTAAAACATGTTATCATCTTCTCTTCCCATTACATCCATCAGAATTGTCAACTTTGCAAATTTACTGTGAGGGTCAAATAACTAATATTTCTCTGCATGACACAGCTTATAGATTCATGCTATTAAGGGAGATTATCAACTTTCAGCACAAAAAGTTTATAATGTTGCCATTTCCCGAGAAACAAATGTAAACCCTAAAAGCCAGAAAGTCTGGAGACAATAAAGACATCATTAACTTTACTATTTTTTAAATCTTGTAATTGTTACAAGCCTGCTTCATGATCCTTGGATGAAGAGGACTGACATGACTGAAACACATTTAGGGCTCTTCCTCTCCTACAGCACAGGTGCATTCCTCATCCTGCCCCTCTACCCTGCTCTTTGGACACAGGGGTCATCTCCATTTTTCTGTGCTCTTAATTTATGACCACTGTGTCTAAGTGTTATAATGATTCAAATAATATATAAAAACATTAGACAACTCATGGCCAATGCCTTTCCTTCAGAGGAGGAGGGGAATTGCCGAGTGCACCTCCACACTGCTAAAAGCAGCTTGGTTATTTACAGCCTCCATGCTGCTGCTGCCTGGAGATGGCTGGCAGCAGAGCGTCAGGCTGAAGAACTGCCTTCTACAAGTACATGGCCCATCACACACACTGCAAACAGCCACAACAGTGTAGACTGAGAAGAGGACAAAGAGAAGTAAGGATCCCAAAACTTTGATCCAGGCCCAGTGGCTGCAGAGTTTCGACCACCAAGGTTTAGTAAGAATCTTCTTTACAAATAAACTGTAAGCAAGCTGCATTTTGTCAACTGCTTCTCTCTTCCTGCCACACCTGCACTATCTGCACTCTCTGAAGAAAATTGCACATCAAATGCTCTCTTCTGCACAAGGATCTCAACTGGAACTGCTACCATCCCAGTCCCTGGCAGAGAAGAGACTCTATTATAAACCTTCTGCAGATGCAGTACGCATTGTCTAAGAGAAAATGCACATTAAAGAGATAAAAAGTGCACTGAGGAAGCCAACGATGCAGCTGGCTCAGCACCACCCTGCAGGACCCTATGACCCAGCTGGTATTTTTTGATTATTGTGATTGTTGGCCACAACCTCAGGCTTACTAGGCGTACTGAGATGGAGAGGGCTATTGGAAAGGGATCCGCTTTGGTTCCAATTCTGCAAGCCCACTAGGTTCTGAAATAGGCTGCAAGGAAAGGAGTGTGTAGACAGCCACTGGGTAGAAATAAAGGATAACACACTCTAAATTTAGATATGAACCCTTTTAAAAACCACTAAAAATTTTTGCTAAATGACAGAGAGCTCCCTTTCTTGTCAGTGACAGCAGCACAGCACTAGCTCGTCCTAGAAAGCACAGGTTGCCTTCCAAGCCTGCACAATGCTAAGCACAAAAGAATCTCTTAGCAGACTTGCTCATCAGCAGAGGAATGAGCACATGATCCATTACAAAATGGAAGAAATAAATCTATTTGGAAAACACAAACTAATTTAGATTCTGAACACATTGTTAACAAAGCAATAAAAACCCCTGTATTTTCTTCTTTTTCCCTTTGTGCAGTATTAATGCTTCAAAGTTAACGACGGTCCAGTGTGAATAGGAAATCATGAAGCAGGTATCTAAGGACAACACTTGGTGACAGCAAAAGGAGCTCAACCTCTTGCAAGCAGACACTGCACTGTTTACAGCTTGCTCTCTATGACACATATTCTCATTTTATCCTAGTTCTGGGGAAGATGTTTACTATCTAGCCAAATTACAAGTATTTGTTACACGACACTGATATTCACACTGTTCTAGTGTATAAACTACTACATTTGGGTTTTTTTCTAGTTCTCAGATGACTGACACGGTCTTCTCCAATCAAAGGGCATTATCCCCCTCCTACAGGAGGGCAGAATTTGTTCCTGGGTTTACAAAAGCTCTAAGTGTAGCCTGACAGGATTACTAGCAAGGATTATGCAAGGCACTGTTAAAGAACTACTCCAGAAAAAAGAAAAAAGAGAAGAAAACACCAGGTCAGCAGTCAAAAATCCCTTCTCGTGATGTCAGGCTGACCTGTAGTAGAGTCTTATGAGGAGATCTTACAAGTAGAAGACTCATGAGAGG